GTGTGTGTGTGTGGTATGTTTTTGTTTGAATGTATTTATTATAATGATCCTGTGGATGTTTTTCAATTAAAGGAAACGCATATTTTAGCCCCCCTTTTTGTGGATTTTCTCTCTTAGTCCTACTTGTGTCTGGACATGTATGAACATGCCTCAGTAGTAAGTCGCATAGCTTCAAATCAATATATTGGACCTATTTCACTATTATTATCATTATTATTGTGATCTGTTTAACTAACTGATTGGACCACTGCAGCAAATTGAGTCTTTTTTTTCTGATTGATGGGTTGCAACAATTCCTTTTAACTGATAAGAAAGAATAAAGAATAAATATACGTATTTATTGGTTGCATCACAGGAAAAAAAAACTGCTAACCAGCCATTAGGATAAATAAATAAATCAACTTAAACTGATTAAAACTGGTTTTCCAAATGTTACAAATCACAGAAGTTTTGACTCAAAGCAAACTGCTTAAATGTGATAAATCTGATACGCACTGGGCGAATGTGATAATATTTCAGCCACTTTTATGTGGCGGACTAAAGCATGATAAGCACTTCAGGACTGTGCGGTTTGCTGTGTTACCTTGGACACGGTTTCCAGGACTCAGCCGAGAAATTAGCAACAGGGGAGCAAATCTGAATCAGTTTGTCTCTGTAATCTACCCAATAAATCCAGATGTTTCCAGTAAAAGTTCATGGAAAGTGAGATGGGTCTTGGTGTTGGTGACTCCATTTGACTGACACAGTCCTTTGTTGTTCATCCAATTTGTTAGGCTTTTTTTCTTAACATTACAGGTAGTATTTCCTGAATTATCAATATTTCTGACTCTTTGGTCATTATATTTTGGCTACTATTGCCTAACTCATGGATTGTACTTTGATGTAAATGTGAGAATATGCTTGACTCTGCTGGTATAATTCTTATATCCCAACTCTTGAACTTGTTTTGTCGATGGTAATTTAAAAAGAAATAGTCTTGGCTATAAAATTTCAGTTCTCAAAAAGCCCCTCCAGCAAAACCGTACAGGATTTATTAGTTTTTCAAAATAATTTTTGGCAGAAAAAAACCCAAAACTAAACAATCTTTTATTCATTTTACGCTATCGAAAACAATCCACTGACAGTTAGCCAAATGTAGAGTAAATAAGATTGTGCAGCACATTAACCTTTTAAAGCCTGATCCAAGAATAAAACAAAACAGAAAATTACTTTTTTTTTGTTTGAATTCCTTATTTGGCCTTTTAACAAAATATGATTTTTTAACATTAATAATTCATTGCTATGCGAAAAGTCAAGATTATTTTTCGTGTAGTCTTCTGCCCCCTGTTATCAGGTGTATCTGATTGTGTACGATAGGATTTTGAGCAAAGTTTTTACCATTAAATTATGCAAAAGGTGTCGGACGAAAAACATTTGAGAAACCGTACGTATCAGATATGATACATTTGGCATTATAGGGTTAAATGTCCCCCGAAGAAACAGCAGCTCTAAACATATTCATCCTGATGGAAGCATCTCGGGCTCCTCCTGTTGCACGGGGAGGGTGTGTGTGTGTGTGTGTGTGTGTGTGTGTGTGTGTTTGGGGGGTGGGGGGGGTGTAGAGGTACATGCTCTCCATTGATGCTGTCTCCCGTAGACTGGAGCGGGATACGGCCCCGAGGCGTGTCGAGTTCAGAGCAGAACCTGCTTTTCCTCAAGTGAAAAGAACATGCCGGTGCTCAGAGTGTGAGTTCAGGAGCTGCTGTTTTCTGCTCCCACGCAGAGTTCAGCAGGATCCCGATCCTTCTCCCGCCAGGAGACGAGTCGCAGCCTCAGAAACCAGGAGAAAGAGCAAAAGGTGGAAAGAAGGAAAAGTCGTGGAGAGAAAAAACAGAAATGGAGGCTCGCCAAACCTCCCAGTTCTGACTCATGACGACCCGAGAGCATCTGTGGGTTCCTTTAACCTCTGTAGGAGCCTAAATGCAGTTCATTTGAGTTGGAATATTTTTATTAAAAAATATGCTAATTTAGGAGTAAGAAAATATTTTCGTTATTTAATGATTCAAAAAGAATTTAAAAGGATTGAAAATTGATATTTAAATATGTTCAGTTCATTGACATTGTTTGAGTAAGACTTTTATTGTGAAGTTTAAAAATCTTCCAGCAGGTGATTTACCTTCATGCCAGGGGGGCGTGGTCAGTGGGAATCAGAAGGAGATTGGAGCGCAATAGTTTTTTTCCCAGGCTCTGTTGGAATTTAGGATTTAATTTTGGAAATATACTTTATGTTTTTTGTAATGTTGCGTGAATTTTTTTTAGTAAACAGTTAAAAACAAGAAGCGGACTAGCGTATTTATTTTCAGAGTTTTTGGATACAACGGAGTCTTACGAGCGTCAAGCGAGAGCTCCAATAAGGACAGCAAGAACTCACAGCCTCACATCAGCACGGTGGGGGTAGGATGATGATCTGGGCTGGTTCTGAAGACGCAGGAGTAAACCAGGAACTCCTGTGGACACCAAAGTATGCACTGTGAGGCCGTCCAAAGATCACACGGCCTCAGATCTGCGTCTATGTGAAAGCAAAACGATCAAACGGCCATTTTGTTTCTGCGATTTTCACTTTTTCGGTCCGGTACGCGAGGGGAAAAACGGCCTCGGAGGCTCGTTCTCCCTCCTGTGTTTTCAGCCCCTGGCTCGGTAATGGAGCGATACAGGAAATTACATTAGCACATCCTGTTTGATCTGATTTGCTTTGGCTCGGCTTTGTTGTGCATGAGATGCTCGACATGGAGACCCTCTCCGTTCGGTGTCGGCTTCCATTTGCATCTATTACTCTGCTCTGTGCTTACACTGTCGGAGCCACGCGGCCGAACCTTAACGGGAGAGAGAGCAGCTTGTTTCGGATTTAGGAGGCCTAATTAAATCCAGTTTACAGATTAAAATCTTTGTGCTGACTCTGTTTGTATCATAGCTATAATGTTGGATTTGGTTTATTGTTTTGTTACCGTCTAATTGGCTTATAAGTCTGCATTTGCTCATTGTGTATTAGCTTAGTATGCTAATTAGCATCCATGTGCCATTATGAAGGAACAGCTACAGGAGCTCATTATGCTCATTATGCTTGGATATTTAGTTTTTTAAGTTTTTTTGGAAGTATATAACAGCTAGTGAGTCAAAACAGTGTTTTGTGGCATGGAGGGTCAGTTACAGCCGAATGCCTCCGGGTTTTTCCTCCTTTTCTGAACGTGTTGGAGACCCTATCCTGCCCCGTCTAACTAAAATATTTATTCGGTCTCTTCTGGGTTCATGAGGCAACATGGTGAATAATCTTTATCTGTCGATGTGACTCACCTCACTCGTATTTCCTGGAAATGTGACCACCTCAGCTTTCAGCTTTCAGGGGTTCCCAGAAGATTGTTGGGAATAAATAAAAAGCCTTTTTTTAGGACTGTGCAGCTTGTAAACAGGACGGGGGCTGATGCATGGCTGTGTGTTTTACCACTTAGTCTATCTCATTTACATTTTTTTGGGGCACAAATACGTTTATTTTAAGCTGTGTCAACACTAACAAATTGAATTGGAACTAGGTGAACAGGGAAAAAAATGTCAAAGCAATGATCTTTGCTTCGATCACTAAGATTATGAACATGAATGTGTGTTGAGAGATGGTGACAAAGGGATCAAATATTTAGTTTTTCTTGCCTTAATAGAAAGTCATCAGCATCAGTATTGGTTTTCAGCCTCGTTATCACTCATATTGATTCAGGTCCTGAATCTCACAACCGGTGAGCACTATCGTTTACACTGGCATGGATTATCTTCAGTTTGTTTCTTTGAAAGTACACTTGTCATTTTCCTTCTTAGATATCTATTATTTTTGTTGCTAAAACTGGATTCTGAAACCTGACCAGACGTTCCAAATGAGATAAAGATAGACGGAGATAAACACATAAGACTCCAGAAAGTGATGTCTGTTAATGAATATGTTTGGTTAGATTAACAAGATGGGACAAATTCTGGCAATTTGCATCAAT